AAAAAAAAAAGCTAATCCATTTGTTTTTCTACTTAGCTGCTTCTTCATGGACACGGTTTCTTATGCTTGAGAAAAAATAACAATAATTCTTGTCTAAAACTTACTACTCCCACCCAATGAGCGCCCCTCTGAAATGTTCGGTAAAACAAATTTAATGTCGCAAAGAAGGGCTCCGCGTACTCCAGATTTCGAGTGCAGCAGATTTATTTTATTTTTTTATCGAAAGTGCAATGTTTAAGAATTTTTTTGGCGGAGAGTTTGGTTTGATACGGCAATTCCATTGGGCGTGGGAATTTTTTGAAAAGAGCATGAAAAAAATGTTTCAACCTCTGCCAATCACTGAAAAATTGTCCGATTTACATTCGGTTTGGACAGGGTAGCTTGTTTTTTTGCGTAGAATTGATTTCTGAAATAAAAAAGTAGGGGTGCCATTTGAAAAGTTCGACTTACGGGTGGGGCACCCCCCGCCCCGCGCCCCTCCCGCGGTTTGGGAAAATGTCAAATACGCCAAAAGGTGTCCCCCTCGATATAAACGAACACGTCTTTTACCGTTTTTCGAAATTCCGACGCGTTCGGAAGATATTCAAGGTGGCTCGTTTTTCGTGAGACACCCTGTATATCCTCAATTTTTATGGGCTGCAACTTTTCCTTTGATCTTTTTCTGTTCGCCACTTTTTTTCCTCGCTTTTGCCCGCAGGAAGTGTATTAAAAAAAATACGCAAATTTTGCTTAAAATTTACGTAAAAAAATTCACTTCAGATTTTTCTTCGACTTTATGTAAAAAATAATCCCCAGAAAGGGTTTCCTGATACGACTATTTCAAGAGCTTTTTTACGTAATTTTCAAGTGGTTTTGAAGTAAATTTTAGGTTCTCTTAAAATTTACGAGTTTTTTACAATTTTCCTCAACCGCCACTGCTACTAGGGCGAGTGTTCCAGTCGAGAACAGGGTACTACTTAGAAGTAGTATATCTTAATATATATATATATATATATATATATATTAGCCCCAATACTTAATATTATTTGCTCCTTGGTAACATGGATTATTTTTCCATTTAGATATTCATTTAATTTTATAAAAATAGCAGTACTAATAATACTAAGCTGTATAGCATTTAGTGTAGTAACTATCATAATAATAAGATGATCATCAAACTCAAACTATTCCCTTATTGGGATAATTCGAACAATTTCCCAAATGATTTCATATGAAATTAATATAATTATGATTTTAATTACCTACTTAGGTTTGAGGTTTCCATGAAAAATGCTTACTCTTTTTAGATGAACATGCCTGTCTACCAACAAAAAAGGAGTTCTCTTTCCCTCTTCTCCCTCTGCACACTTTTACGAAAATCGTCTGAATTAAGTTAATACTTCGCAACGACGCATTCCATTTCCCTCCGTAGGTGAAGCATGTATAGGACTAGACGGGCTCTAAGAGGGTGGGTACCTAATTAGTCTCCGAATTTGCTTACCCACCTCCATTTATCAACAATTCAAAAACCAGTGATTAATCGATGAATGGTTGGGTTTTGTTGACAAATAGTTCCGAAACTTTACTACCTAGGAAAAAGGTAAAATGTTAGAACTATTGAATCCCTTCCCTTCTCAAAAGGCCCCGTGTCCGTTCAGCTGAGTTTAACAAATATCACTGCCCTCAAAAAAATCATTCTTCGTCGGGATCGTCGACATCAAAATCGCCATCTGGTTCTTCACCATTTTTATCACCTTTATCTGAGGTCCGCACTTCTCCGATAGCTTCCAAAAATACAAGAATCCCTTATTCTTTTTGCACATAAAAAGGCTACAGATAAGGTTCATCACTTATCGGACGACATGGAGGCAAATACAACGTTGCCAAATATTCATTTATTTCGGCAATTCTTAAAACAATGTATGTAATCGTCCTCCTCCTCCCCTGCCATCTTGTGTATGATCGGATTGAGGAGCGTCATATAGGTAAACTGTGTCAGAATTGTCAAAAGTAGAAATTTAGTAGCAATTAATGGTAATACAATAGCTGTTAAAAATTGAATTCCTAAGTGAGACTGAGTATATCAGAAAGAGTGTCCTACCAAAGGAAACTATTGACAATTCGCTTTTAGATAAGTTTTGCATATCTGTATGAGCTTTCAAACGCTGCCAAATTTCCTTCAAGAGAATACGAAATTTCAGGGAATTTTGGGAATAAGTATTTTTTCTTGGAATTTTCAAATAATTTTATTTCTAATCAGGTCTAAATCATGTGAGAATTTCAGGAGAAAATATTCATATCTCTCCTCAAAAATTGGCATTTTACAGGAGGACATTCAGTATTAGCTTGACATGGGCTTTATTATGGTTGATGAAAATTGAAACCAATAATCTGCTCAGATTAGACATTGGCTTGATAGCGATAGTCATAGTGGTAACAGTGGACAACATAGAAAAACCTTACATGTAAACGGTTATCTTACTTTGTGTAAATGAATTTTATACATAGATTCTTAAATTTAGAGCAAAAAGATGACTGGAGAGTTTATACTTTGCTTGCACTATAGGCATCATTTATTTCAAAGCATCCTTGCAGGCCGACGCCTATGTACTGTGAGGTAGAACTGGGCAAATAATAGAAAATTATGTCAATTTTTCATCAAAACTGATTTTAATTGCAAGATCATTTTTAGGCACATACATTTGATTTAGAAGTCTACAGAAAAAAGCTTACCAAAATAAAAAAATAACACAAAAAATCAAACCAAAAGCAACTAAGCATTTTAATAAAACTGAATCACAGTTTGTTGATTGTAGAACTTGAGTGGAATCAACAATATAAGATTATTATGATTAAATTTTTAACTTCTCTCATTTCCAAAACAAAAAAACTTAAATCTACTACATTAAAATAGAAAATATGCAATCTTCAATATACATTTTTATCCCCAGTTCCTTATGAATTGACTGAGTAAAAGGAGAAAAATGGAATGAGTACTCGTAAAAAATTACAATGTTTTTATTTAGAATTAGCACTATTCGACTAAGGATCCCTAAGTACTGGTAACATTTAAATTATGAACAATTTTTGCTGGAAAAAAAAAAAAAAAAAAAAAAAAGAACAGTTCAAGTTTTAAAATTCAAGAGAAATATACTTTCAGTTCTGTGATCAAAAAAAAAGGGGGGCATGGCTTTGCAGATTTTCCTCATAATCATCACAATTGATTTTAAAATACCTATGGGATTTAGCAAGTCTGATACATTTTAATACACACCATTACACAAGGAAACCTTTAACTACTGAAGCTAACTACTCTGAATAACATTTTCTAAACTTTATGCAAACAATAATGTATTGAAGGAAATAATAATGGAAAAAAATTAAATGAAAATTCATGGTGTTAATTTTTAGTAGGAAAAATAGAAATTTTTCTTGTGATAATAAAGCTGGTCATCAACATTAGAGGAGGTAAAAATTACTCATATTGACACTTAACAAAAAATAAATTGCAAAATATGCAACATAGAAAACTACAATTTAACGTAAAATCAATGTAAAATTTTGGTTAAAATTTACTAAAATAAAAAGATAAAAAACTTGTAAAGATAGCATTTACATAAGCTGGAACAATAAGGGGTTCTTAACTCGGATGTTTTAACAGTTTCTTTATAAAATTATGATGGAGTCTATGAGAAGGGACCTTATTTTCTGGAGGGAAATTTTCCTTACAGTTTTGCACATAAATTGGTGAAGATAATCTGGAACTTTTGACGCAATGTTGACCCTGAAAGCTTAAAAATTAAAGGAGATAAGCATCTTCAGGTTCCGAGACAAAAAAATCTTAGGTTGTAGAAGAACGTAGTTTAAACTTTTGAAAAAAAAAGTAAGGTAAATTTTCTCCTGAAGATACAAGTTCCTTTTCACAGATCCATTCGCAGTTGAGATTTGAAATTTGAGTAACAGTTTTTCAACTTTTTATTTACAGACAGTACTACTAGGGACATCACAGTATCACGCACAAATTCAAAAATAAAAGAGGTCAATATTATTTTTCTGATTGTAGGGTCCTTATTCTTAAAAGATTTTTGGATGAGGATCTATAACACAGACAAGTAAGTTGTTTGTGTGAAAGGTTTATAAACAATGATAATTATTTCTCCTACAGTTGCCTCAAAATATCATTGAGGAATTTCATCTCAACAAGATACTCTATGTCATCCTCCTTCAATACTTTCCCTGAATATGTTTTGAGGGGAGAAAACAATAAGTCAATCTTCTCTCTTTGACCCTGTGCCAAGTCCTGAGGTATTTTCGGTCTAACGACCACGGCAACAGCTGGTACCGTGACGAACTTGGGATGCATTCTCCTCATGGATGAAACTAAAATATCGCCTTGACCACCAAAATCAAGTAATATTACCTCAAATGAACCATACTCCCTCATTTTCCCGACTATGGCACGACACCAGCATCTCTCTGGCATTTCTCGGGTGTTGATATTGACAAAAACGACTTCTCCTTTATATGGTGTGTACCCATTGGATTTCAACCCTTCACAATAGTCGTTAATTAACTTTTGATGAGTGCCAAAAACGAACTGGGCTACATCTGTATTTGGCTCGAACATGAAGTAAATCCCTGCAAGTTTTCCTAAGAGGGCAAGCTCAACCTCACTACCGATCTCAAGTTTACCAAAATTTATATGGGCATCATAAATTATTTCATTTTCTGCTAAATCTTCCACCTTCAAGTGTTGTTTCATTTTCTCATTGATCGATTCATCATAGGAGTCATAAAATTCTGCATTAGACAAGTCATTGTCCTCAAACACTATTTTTAAAGGCTCTTCTTTGAAGCCCAGTGAATTTAGGTAATTTACAGATTCACAGTTTGGAATATCAGCATCTTCAACACCTTTTAAGGAGACTTTAACTGCAAGACATGGATAACTCAGCAACTCATCGTCAAGTTCATAAATATTTTCTAGTGAACTTAATTCTTGTGTGCCGAAGTCAACGAAGAAAATACGGTAAACAGAATCTTTAAATGGTTCAAATACTTGCGCACGATGATAGCAATTATCTTTACTCCACCTGCAAGCTACAAGCTGCCCAAATCTGGGAGGGTTTTTGAGAGGTTGAGAAGACTGAATGAGCTTCATGAGCTTTTGATCGATCACAAAATTGGCCTGACTAACTGGAGTTACGTGCAGAAATGATGACGAATAAAATTGTGTGATATGGACTAGGCTCTTGTTTTTCAATGCAACAGCTTTCAAACCAATTTCTTCAGAAGTGGGTTCCCATTCTTTCATTTCAATTGTGCAAATTTCTTGATCCTTGTCTGACAAACTACAAACAACTGCATCAGGCCCTTCTTTCAAAACAGTAAAATCATACTTTGTGTTTACGGATTTTTGAAAGAGCTCAAGCTTCTTTTCTGAATCAATTTTTTTCACTTCACAACTGACCCCAAAAAAGGGATAAGATTCACACTTCTTTTCCAAAGGTCTTACTAGCTTTGGATGCACAGATACTACACACCCAAGATCAATAAGAGAACAGCGAACAAAGTTGGGAGAGATAGACCAAATGATGCCTCTAGTCCAAATGCTCTCATGTTCTACGTACACTCCAACTAAGTCTCCAATCAAGGGAACAAAATCATCTGTCTCTAGCGGATTCTTCATTTTCTTGTTCAGCTTACTAAAGACTATTTTATGAATTAACTTCAATTGATCTAGCACCTTACATTCATCATCAAGGACTATAGCAGCAAGAAACAAGTTGTCTCTCTTGAAACTTGTGACTAGGATCTTTCCTTTATTACCCTCTTCCAGCCATTCTATCACTGATGCACGATTAGTATTCATCTCACTTTGATCTTCTATGATAGAAGGCTCTACGTAAAAGAAATCACTAGAAATCCGGCAAAGGCTGCGAACTTTCATTTTGGCTCCAATAGGCAAAACCATCTTCCTGTCTTTCCAGATGATTTTAATATATGCACTCACCGAAGGAAATTCATTCAAGGAGGTGAGATCTCTCCAGGAAACATAATACGTGCAAGATGATAATTTTCCTATTACAGTGACCTCTGTAAAGTCTCCAGGACAGCGCCCAGCAGAAAGGTCGATGATTTTTACATTGATTTCACGGACAAAGTCGGAAGTTTTCGACACTGATGTAGAGATGGATGACTTTTTATCTGAATTTTCAATAAACTCAGCTATGTATGCATCATCTTCCTGTTTGAGAGAATTGACTTCCATAAAACTACCAGGAATAAAAACTGAATTAGAGGGAGCTTGAAGTTTTATTTTGAGAGCAAAAGGCTCATCTTCGGATAAGTCTGAAGGCAGCAACTTGATGAATGTAGCCATGCATTGCTTAGAAAAACCATAATCAATCAAGTGTATGGTCGAAATAGGGGAGGAAGCCTTCAAAATTTTCCCTCTACACCATTCCCCTTGATCGGGACATAGAATCGCACATATTCCACCTGCGACAATTCTGCAACTAGGCTGGTTTGGACATTCTTCTTGCAGTCGCTTTTTCATGCTTTCAAATCTCTTAACATCTTCCGACTTAATCGCATAGATGAAGTTGTCTTCTACATGTGTGACTTTGAGAGATCTTCTTGTACTATTATCGCAGGCATCATTACTTACAACTGACTTACCGCAAATCAGCTGATGGTTTGGCCAATCTTTAGTTCGGCATGCTAGAGAGCAGTAAAATGTTGAGCACTCTGTTGAGCAACTGTAGGCAGCAATTTTGTGGGGACAAAGAACACAACGGTCAAATTCGGAACTTTTAACCTTTTTGTCGGTCGATAAGCTTTTCGGTTTGTTTGGAGATTTGCGTTCTTCTTTCTCCTCAGTATAAAAACAGTGACCTAAAGAGACTTTCTTACTAGGGGTGTTCATAAACTCAGCAGACTTAACATCTAAAATAGGGTAAATTTTATATTTGTTTTCATGAAAACTGACAAACGGATTGCAGTAAAGGGGATCAAAATTATCAGGGATAATAAAATCATGAGTGTTTTCTGGGGGGAAAAAACTTGCCTGTATTTCCTCCAATCTTGGGCCAATATAAATGTTGTCTGGCTTTTTTTGCTCAGTCTGTGGTTCTACCGGTTTCATCGCTTCAAGGATGCTGCTATCATTATGAATATCACCTGCTTGAGTTTTATTAGTTTGTGGAGGAGCAAACTGGACTCTCATATGAAAGGGTGGTTCTTTATGGACTTCCTTAATTGCACGATTGGCTGAAATCTGGGTGTCATATTTGATATAAGCGATCTGTGTGCCGGGCTCTCTAGTCGAGTGCCGCTGGTACTTAACTTCAACTTCACCATACTTGGAAAATAAATTAAACAAACCTTGCTTTTCCAATCCCTGGGGAATGTTGGTAATTCTCAAAGTGACTTCTGATAATTCATTTGGATTCCCAAGATCTTTGCCCTTGCCTTCAGTATATGAGTTGAAACTTGGATTATTATAGTCTGCTGACATGAGATCGAAGGATTCATCGTCAAAAATTTTTGTCTGACCCTAAAACAAGAACAAAAAACTAAATAACCAGGACATTTTATTTTAATGCGTTAAAACATTGTGGATAATAATGCACAAATTGCATAGCCCAAAAATATGAACAGGAGAGAATGAAAAAGAAAAAATTGGTAAAACAAGGCTAAGATATAAAATTCTAAAAAGGCAGGACCTTCGGAGCTGTCATAGGCTCATTTTCAGTTGCAAAAATATTCAAAATTAATAAAAAATTGAGTGACAACCTAATCCTAGTTCTTATGATGCAACCACATAACACATCTCATGGTTGTGTATGCATATGAAGTCGTATCTGAAAAAACGACGGATGTTAACAATTGCTGTTTTCAGGGAGAGCAGCTTTTTTTAATGTACGGACCCTCAAAAGCACGTGTACAAATTTTTGGAACCAGGTCTCAATTCTGGAGTGAGAAATCAGGCAAAAACTGTGTTATATGTAAAAAAGGCGGATGTCATGTCAACATTCGTTGTTCTTTCATATAACTAATTAATGGTTAATCGGGTAATGGCCACCCGTTTTTAGAGGACAACGCTTATATTTTAAACTATTCTTTGAAAGACTAATACTTTAATTTAATTTTATTTTACTTTAAGGAGACTGATTTAATTTGTTACTTATTTTACAGAGGTTACCGAATGCTCTGTTTTTTCACCATTTATTAAAGTACTTGGTAAGCAAAAAGCTTTTGTTAATTCCAATCCTGAAACTCTGCTTAGATTGCCTTAAAACCCGATATTAATCATCATAAAAACATTATCTGTAAAAACGACAGATGTAGCTCACTGAGTTCCCTCTTCCATCCAGCTACCCATCTCACTAAGTTCCCTCTTTACATGATATATACTTCCCTTTTTCAATATTCGACTCTTTAAGATAAGTACAAGTTGCATACTCTAGCCCCTGAAAAATATGAAATATTTCGCTAAAATTTCCAATCTTTCATTTCTTTCTTGAATCGAATCATGAATATGCATTTGAATCTGATAAATAACTTACCGGCATCATTTAAAAGGCGCTTGCTTTTTACGTACTTCTTCTCAATCTTTGTAGATGATCTCAAAGCCAAAGTTGAAAAGATGAATCTGCAACACACTAGTAGAGAATAAAATGTAAATTATTTATTTAAATAAAAACAGCAAAAATTCTGTAGCCAAGGTACAATACAACATTTCAGGAGAGAAAATTTAAAATCTAATAAGCGCCATCTGCAGCCTGATTGTTGAAATTTGTGTCAAGCAAGACAAGAATCAAAAATCGATATATTACTCAGCAAAGATAGGGTTACCTATATCTTTTCTTATCGTGCCAACGAAGCCAATTAAAGTTTCAACAATTGCGCTGCAGGTGTTACTTAGAGATGCAAAATTTCTGCAACCCAACGACCAATCCAGTCACAATGAAAGTGTGAAGCCCACCAAAGATAGGAGAAAATATGAATGTAGAGCTACTTTTGGTGAGTGAAACTAATGAATGGGTTATTTTTCCAGGCAGAAATTGCTGATAGCAATTGCTAATGCAAATTACTTATAGCAAAGGAAACTGTGATCTATGTGTTTTGAGCAATCAAAATAATAAAGCACGTATTCTTGTGTAAACAGCAATGTGAAGGCAGCTTTACAGTACATGAAGGCTGCCTTAAAACAGGAGGAGGCAAAAGACTGAGGCCTTGTCCACACGAGCGCGGTTCACGGAACTTATTCCGAGGAACTTATTCCGAGGAACTTGTTCCCGGAAGTTTTTAGCTGAGCTAAAAACTTATTCCTCCAAAACCCGGAACTTCCTCTGTACTCCGAGCATCTATATGTATATGTTTCTTTGGATGTGAATTTGTTTGTTTTAGTTTTTTACGTCCTTTACATGTCTTGACATTTATTTTTGTTACTTTGGCGGCCGTAATAATCTATTATTTTGCGATAATTATACAGTTTTATTGAAGTTCCGGTTTCAGTTCAGGCGAACTCGTGTGGACAGCATGCCTCGTTTCAAGGAATAAGTGCCGGGAACTGAGCAGTTCGTCGAATAAGTTCCTCGAACCGCGCTCGTGTGGACAGGGCCAAAATGACACGAAATAAAGGGTGAAATGGTGGCTTCTGCACCTCTGGCTTGATCGCTCAACTGTTTCTCTCATTTGACACAAATTCAGTGGCCTGAGAATAACAACTTGTGCCAAAAAGACGACATTTAGATTAAAATAAAATTTTCCCTAGACAGACTCTGAAGTTGTGGTAAGTATTTCAATTCTGTAGCAGGAGGGAGCTCTACACTCAATCTGATGGCAACATCTGATGGTGCTCACAACGTTTTGAATGTTAATTCTTCATTCGATGCAACAACAGTGCTGAAAAGTTGCATGATGGTATCACTTTGAAGTTAGAAGCCTACCAAATGGTTCCTTCCAACTAGTAAATGACAAGCCTGTCTCAAAAGCTTGTGGACACGAGCTCTGGCGATATGTTGGTAAGGCACAACTTAACTCTAGGTACCTGTCAAAGCTGACCTCTTTATATGTGTCAGTGAGAGAAGGTCCGACAGCTAAGATACGTCACAGAATTCATTTCCTATGATGCCACATTGCAGCTGCAGCGATTGCGATGCAGAGGCAGGCACTCAAGTGCAGCAGTATTCATTCTCTACGATCATCATTAAAAGATATTGGCATGATTAAAGGACTGTAAAGAGAAAATTTTCCGTGGAAAAGCGATCAACTTTCGTAAAAAAAATGAGAATTTAAAATTTACCAATTGAAATAATTGCTGCAACCGAAGTAGAAGGATGAATTTTCAAAGCAGCAATGCTCTGACAGTCTGACAGTGCTTCCCTGCAGATATATAAATTCAGTAACTTTGAGTGAGAGCACAGAGTTTGATCGTGTGCAGATCAGTGTATACACGTTCTTAAGTTTTATCTACACTTGTTGAAGAAGTAGTAGCAAGAAGAAAAATCTACACAGTCTTCTTGCATATCACGCCGGAATTGGAGGAAACCCCATTTCTTTCCTTTTGGAGTGTGGAGTTCGAGCCACGAGAAAACTTGATAAGAAAAGAAAGAATGGAGAAGGAGATGGAGCATGGGAAACAGGTCGTAAACATAAACAATTAAACATAACCTAAATAAACTCTGAATGGCTTGTTGTTGTTGATCAA